TTCATCTTTAAGTGCTCGATTTAAGTGCAGGTAGTTCCCCATCAGAGGTTAATTCCTATGGAACATGTCTTATTGCCAGTGCCGGGTTAGGTGCCTGCTGAAGGTACAAAAAGCAGTTGAAATTCAGTATGGAGGAGTTTACACAACCTGGAAACCCAAGTGCCAGTCCAGTCATCTAAGAAATCTGTATGAGTGGTAGAATGCCACAGACTGTAGTCGGAAGTCTTTACGTAAAAGCTGGATAAGGAGAACATGCACTGCAGGCCCACCTTCCTTTGGCTCTGTAAATGCAGCAAATTGACCAAGAAATAAGATCTGGAAATACTTCAGAGGTTAAAAATTGAAGTTTTACAACCATTATTTCCTTTAAGAGGCCATGTCCAGTGCCCAGTGTGTCCTGGCTTTTTCAATGAGTGTGTTCATTAAGTAGGCCCTGATTTGGCCAGCACATGAGGACATCCTAACTCTGTCAAGTGGAGCAGTACCTGTGCTGAAGTGCCGGGAGCAGTAGAGTCCTGTTGCCTTGTTTTCCAAAAGGCAGCTATTTTATACCAGCTGGTTGTGCTCGCAGAGTTTCCCCGGAACCATTTTAACGGGAATCTTTTTTACAGAGTTGATTTTTGATTTGTGTTGTTTGGGATTTTTTAACTTTAAAAGAAACATTAAAGTCACTTTATAGAAGGTTTATTGCAAACATGACAAACAGTACTAACAGACATTAGGGAGAAAGGAACAAAAACAGGACACCAATTTGTGACTCTTCTAAATCAATGTATCTGTAAATCCACCCTGCTGCATTCCATTGTAGTGGTTGTTGGATATCGGTGCCAGTCTTCACTCCCCTTCCCATCTCTCTTCTTTCCCCTCTGGCAGGTGGCTGACATGAGGGTAGCAGCGAGAGGAGAGCTCAGGGCTGTGGAAGTGCAGGGTATCACACAGGAGCACCACCCTGCAATCATCACCAGTTTATCCTGGAACCTTTAACCACTGAGAGAGAACCTGAGGGAGTTTAGGCCATCAGTATGACACTGAGAGCATTCACAGATGTCTCTGTTGGAGAACAGAAGTGGCAAGTACTCCATTCTCCCTGAACTAGGAGCATTTACTCCTCATGAAAATTGGAAAAGGTCAGTTCCTAAAATTAGAGACCCGTGCTAGAAATTTGGATTTTTGGTTCATCTGGCCACAGATCCCCATGGCTATGTAT